TGGACTAGGTGTGGGCAACTGGCTCTGGGTCTGCTGGCTGCCCCTCCTGTAAATGTTTTCTTGTGGGTCCTGCAGGACAATGAGAGGTTCAGAGGGGTCTCGTCCTCCCAGTGCTGGTCGTGCTCTGCACTCAGTTACACTGGGGCATAAACAGTGATGCAAGCTCCCCGCTGTGGGCTGGGCTTTACTGAGAAGTAGGGTTACGTACAAGGACAAGTCTGATGCTCAGGAATTACCGATGAGGCCTCTGCTACAGGGGTAAAAGTGCTGACTCTGAAATCCTGCTTACAGGCACTGACGTGGCATTTTCTAGCCCAGGATGTTGCTTCCTCTCTGTGTGGGGCCTCAGCGGGCCACCCACTTTCTCGCGATCCCCATCGCATCCCGTGCCTCAGGCATGGGTCGGTACCGGTCCCCAAGCGCACAGGCAGCTATGGGCGATGTGACACCTCTGCACGGTGCGTGCATCAGCCGTGGCGGCTGCTGACCCATATGCCTGGATTTATCCACACGCAGCACCCCAGGGGAGAGCCTAAAGCTGGGCTGAATCCCCACCGCCAGCCCCACCGCCAGGATGCATCACCCCATCACCTCGCTCTCCGTGCCCCAGCACTGCTGGCACCCCGGGGGAGTAGCCAGTTCCCAACGAGCAGCTTGGGACCAGCATTCCCACCCTGGCCTCGCTCGCTGTGGTAGTGCAGGGCATTTATTCTGGTCTCTGGGAGCTTGCTGGAGGGAAGCTGGTGGCCGGTGTGATGGATCATCTGTCCTCCTCCCTTCTTCATCTGCTCTTCCCTCCCTTTTCCTCCCCATCACCTCATCTTCCTGGCTCCATCCCCAGCCAAGTGCAGACCCAGCAGTGCTGAGTCGGCAGCACTGGGGCTGCCTTCCTGATGAGGCGAGAGGAGCTGCCCCACGTCTGGTGCACAGGCTGTGTGCGTGGGGGTGAGGAGAGCATGGTGGCCACCCTGCTGTACGCTTCGCACAGCTGCTTGGCTCAGCGGGCAGCTCTTTGCTGCTGGGAACAGAGGCAGAGCCGGCGGGGAACAAGCTGCAAGGTTTCTTCTCAGGAAAACTGCCCTTGGTGTCACACCAGCCCCCTTTCTCTGCAGCTCGCTCCAGGCCGTGTCGTGCCGTGGGTTTCCTTTTGCAGCGGTGCAAGGGGAAGCATGGCATGTGCTGGGCTGTGCCGCATTGCCGACCTCACAGTACGAGCCCCCTCGCATTGTCCAGCCCTGCCAGCATCCAGGCCCAGTTTACAACCCCTCCGTGGGAGGCAAAGCCAGGCTTGAGACACCCCTTCCTCTCCCCTTCTCCACAAACAGCACCATGGGGAGCACAGCAAGGAGCTGCAGAGGGCACCAGCTGGAGAGGAGCTGGGGAGTCCGGGATCGCCCTCCTTAAAGCTCCTCAGGCCCGCAGCGGAAGGGGAAGATGCTCCCCTCCCTCCTCTTCCTCCCTCCTGCATGGGGATTTTGCAGCCAGGTAAACACAGGATGTTGATGAAACAGGCTGGGCAGAATTGGGCAACCTGGGAGGCGGCAGGAGCTCCAGGCAGCTCCCAGCATCCCACACGCAGCCCAGGGGCGGCTGTGCGGAGGGGAAGAGTGATGCCAGAGCCGGCTGCACCCTCCTCTGGCCGTCCCCAGGGTCACGAAATTCCCCTGTGTGGAGGGAGAGGCAGCGTGGGCTGGTGGTCAAGCCCGGGGTAGCATGGACTCCCTCTCACCCACTGCTGTGAACCCTTGGGATCTCCTTGCAAGATGGGCTGATGCTCACAGCGGGCAGCACCGAGCACCTTGCTCCAGGTTGCAGGCTTTGTCACTCAACCGATGGCAACCATGTGGCACCTCCTGGGTCCCGCTGAACACAGGGAACACACAGGGCACAGGGATGGGGCTACAGACCTCCCCCCCCAGGATCCCACCCTGCTGGGCATCGGCTCAGCGCACACCGCTCACGGCTGGCACTGCAGGGACAGGCTCTTCCCTGCTCGGGTACAGCGTGTGCTGTACAAAATATGGCTACTTGACAAGGCACAAGAGGGAAGACGAGGGAAAAAAGAAAACCAACCTTGTTTTGTTTTTTCTTGGATGTCTCAGGCCAGCGGTTAGTCAGCCGTTGGCTCCCGGACTGAGCCTTGCAGGGCTCTGCAGCACAGCCTCATGGCTGGCAACCGGGTATCACGGGGGTACCAGGCTTTTTCTGAGGGCTCTGGTGAGCATGGGATGGGGCAGATTTAGGGCTGCTCATGAGCAGGCAGAAGGGTTTTCCCAGGGAATAAAGCAGCTGGAGTACAGGAGGTGACAGGCATCTCCAGTACCAGGATGCTGGAAGGTGGCCCCTTCGAGGGGTTCCCTGGGAGTAGCATGATGCTGTGTGTGTACCAACCACCACCCTGGGCTCTGCTCCCCTCCTGGGATCAGAGCACCTCATCCCACTCCATGGCGGTGACTTGGGATGGCGCACCCAGAAACTGGCTGAACGCAGGAGCATTTGGCTCCCAACCCAGAAATGGGGCTGCAGATCGCTCCGGTGTCCAGCCCAGCTCGCTCCTTGACTGCGGGTCCTGCTGTCACCCCTGCACTGACCACCTGCACTCAGCCAGCAGCCAGGAACAGCAAGCCACGAGTGGGCCACGAGCGAGCCACTGGCGAGCAGAGGGGACCCGGCCCCTGGGCAGGGACGGTGGCCGGGGCAGTGGGAAGGAGCCAGGCAAGGGAAGGGGGGATGAGGAGCGGGATGCGGTGCTAGAGGTGGCTGGACAGGGATGCCAAAGGGGCTGCCGTCTTCGTTAGTGCATGAGAACTGTGCCATGTGGCACTGTCCCCAGTGTCCCCAGTGTCCCCCTGGATACTGCTGCCATCTGCTGGCAGGACCAATCCTGCTCAGGTCCTGAGTCCGGCCACTGCTCCCAGGCCTGGGGACCCCTCTGTGACCCCACTGTCCTGCATCCCACTCCCGGGCACACAGGACAGCGTGGCACCACGCACGGCTCTGGGCCAGACACCCCAAGGTGCCCCCCAAGCCTCCTTGCTGCAAGCCCAAGGAAGATGGGCCCCAAAACTGCTCATGGTGTCCATCCAAGGCATAGCAGATCGTCACCCTCACGCTAATCTGCGTCCTGGGCTGCAGATTTCTCCCATGCTGACCCCCTCCCAGTGCTCAGACACCTCCCTGACCAGCTCATCCCCCACCACCGCCTTATTGTACGCCCTTTGCAAGCAGCCCCCTGCCCGTGGGCTTAGCGTCGTCCAGTTTGTGCGGGTGGATGCTGGTGGATCAGGCCGGCAGCGGGGTTAGAGCAGCAGGTTTCTCCAGGAATCGTCCAGCTCCACTTCTCAGCGAGGCTGCCGAGCGGCAGAGGAAGCTCACCCCGAGATAGCCATCTTCCTTCCCGCTGCGGTTCCGTCCCCTGGGTCTCGCTGGCCACAGAGATTCGCTGAGTCCTCTCCTCCTTACGACAGGCGTGCACATACCGAGCCTATTCCCACGGTCTCCCCTGCCCTCCCCGGCATTCCCAGCCTTTCCGCTTCCCCTGGGACCAGCAGGTCCTGGGGTCATGCTGGGGATAAGTGTTGTGGACTGGGGCCTCACTGGGTGTGGGGATACCCAGGGCCACCCTGCACATCCCTCTCTCCCATCTCTGGGCACTGAGACCCTGAAAATAGCCTCGGTGGGGTGTTACATGGAGTTTGCTTTTCAGATGCACTTGGGAAGCAGGGTTAAGGTTTGGAGGAGGTGAATCACCGAGCCAGTGTCCCCGCAGAGGCCCTGTGAGCACTGCAGTGCGTCCCTTTCTGGGGCAGATGGCAGTGGCATCCTACGCCTCGCTGGACAATGCCCAAGTCCATGGGCAGAGATTGAGCTGCAGCTGTCCTCGGTTTAATTCCTCGCAGCAAAACCAGCATCCGGTGGATTTTTCTGTGCACTTCATGCCCCGGCCCACACACACGATGCAAAGGCTGCACAGCATTGGGGACCTTCCCGTTGGGAGCGATGCCGTGCGTGCGAGCCCGGCAGACTTAGTGCCTGACACCCACGAGAGCAGCAGGAAGTTGTTTTAGTCTAAAAGGGTTGGTTTTGGTTTTTTTTTTCCCTAGCCCTGCAAAAGAAAGCTGAAAAAGTCAACCCCCAAAAGGCTACAACCCAAAAAGTGGGTAACAGCTAATGCTGAAACCTCGCTGTTGGGAGCTGGAGCCTGGCATGTGGTTTTCGGTCTGACTTCCAAAGAAACCAGGTGCGTGCATCCACCCCTCCTCCCTGCGCCTCTGCCCATCCCGCCCTCCATGATTGTTTTTTGCTGAAACAACCATTCCCCAGCAAGCCACCTTTCGAAGGCCATGCCAGCAGCTCAGCCCTTACAAAACATCAGAGACGCCCCCATCAGTACTCCTGACCTGCTGGCCGTTCTCTTCACAGAATCACAGAATGGTCAGGGTTGGAAGGGCCCTCTGGAGCTCCCCCAGTCCCACCCCCCGCCAGAGCAGGGGCACCTCCAGCAGTGGCACAGGACGGCGTCCAGGCGGGTTTGGGATGGCTCCAGAGTGGGAGACTCCCCCACCTCTCTGGGCAACCTGTGCCACTGCTCTGCCACCCTCACAGCAGAGAAGGCCCTCCTCATGTTGAGATGGAACTTCCTATGTTCAAGTTTGTGCCCGTTACCTCTTGTTGAGACGCGCTTCACCCACATCCTCAACCCGTGTGTCCGGCCCATCGCCGTCCTGCTTCCTTCCAAAACCTCACAGCCGCCCAACACCGCTGCCCACAGTCCACCGCAGCGGGGATGCCGAATCGTGCCGCCAGCTGATGCACCCAGGTCCTTTTGCAGGTGGGGCCGTGGGAATCCAGGCGGGCTGGCACGGCTACCCCCCTTCCGCCCCGGCGGCGCCCGAACACCAGGGGGCCTTCCTGCCCGCCGGCACTGCCGCGCCGTGCGCTCGCCCCATACCCCTACGCCGTGGGGCGGCGAGCCCCAGCCATCCCTGTGCCCCCGGCACAGCGAGCCCCCGGGACCCCTCGCCACCACCGCCCGGTGACAGCCAGCGCCATGGAGTCGGTGGCTCTGTACAGCTTCCAGGCGACGGAGAAGGACGAGCTGCCCTTTCAGAAAGGGGACACCCTGAAGGTACGGGAAGCAGGGGGGGTCACCAGCCATGTCGGGGGGAGTTGGATGTTGCTGCTTTGGGGGACAGGGTCAGCACATGGCATGGGGCAACACCGTTGTTTTCATTGCACCTGGCTTTGTTGCTGCTTTGGGGCTTTCTTGGAGGGGGGGGAAAGGAGCTGTGCTTGAGGTTTTCAGGGTGCGGAGCAGCATCCCCAGCGGTGGGGATGTCTGTGCCACCACTTGTCTGTGCCACCAGCCACATCTCCAGAGAAGTCCCAGCTGGCACGAGACACATAGCCTCCCTGGCCATCGTGGCCACCAGCTGTGCTCTGTGGCAGCCCCCCGGGGCTGGAACACATTTTCCCTGCCCCACAGAGACACAGGGGGCCGCGAGGACCCAGCAGCAGGGAGCGTGTGCCCAAATCCCCACCCAGGCGCTGGCATCGGGACAGGCTCTCGCATGCCACCCTGGCATCCCAAAAAGCTTCAGGGGGGGGTTCAAAACATTCCCAGGGGGACTGCTGCCCTGCAGTGGGGGTGAGGGCACCCTGCCACACTGCCAGGCCGC